TCTTTCTTGGATGGGTTTTCCATGAAAAGCATAACTTTGTGGATTTCCTCGAAGTCAAGAAACTATTCCTCCTCAGAAATTCCCCTTTTTTTTTTTTTTGTGGTACATCCTCTGAAAAATATTGGGAACTCATTTTAGTCATTTGCTTTCTCCCCCCCAATCGGATTGTCGATCAAAATGATGCTGTTCGCTAGTAGATTGGCAATTTGGCAGCTAGCCCAACATGGACTGGGCTAGGATAGCTTAGTAAATATTGTTAATGCAAAATGGGCTTGATTTGCTGTTAAGCCCATCCATTTTGTTCGCTTTACCAGCCTTGCCCATCCATTATTAAAAAATATAACTTAATTATTAAAAAGTATAATAGATAATTAACTCCAATTATTTTAGTCAGTACAAGACAAGTGGACTCCCCTTTACTTTCCCCTCAATCACCGCCCAAACCGAACTGAAAGATCCCTAATTTGCCGAACGAAAAATCCATGGAGCTTAATCATTTTAGCCATCCGCATCCCCTGCTCCTCGTGGAAGATAAGAGCGACCAAGTCAGGGAAGCTTATTATTGCTCAGGATGCGGGGAACTCATACAGGATTCAAGTTACAGATGTGCCGACTGCGAATTTTTCCTTCACAAGACGTGTGCTGAGCTACCCGGGGAGTTGGATCATCCTTTTCATCCCCAACATCCTCTCGTTCTTTATGATAAGCCGCAATATGACTTTCCTCGTGTTGCGTTTGAGTGCAATTCCTGTGGAAAGGAAAAAGGTGAGGGATTCGTATATCATTGTTCTACTTGTAAATTTGACCTTGACATACACTGTGCCCTGCTACCAAAATTCATTGTTGGCGATTTCCCTAAACTCAAACATTTTAGCCATCAACATTCACTTTTGTTCATTGAAAAGCATTACCCTGAAGGCGCCGATCAGTCTTTTTTTGCTTGTGAAGATCTGATATCAGGTCCTATTTATTGTTGTTTTGATTGTCAAGTTTTCCTTCATAAAAAATGCGCTGAGCTACCAGGTGTGATAAATCACCCTAGCCACCGCAAACACTCTCTTACTCTTGGGCCCAGTCCTCCACCTTCCAGCCACTCCAAACACTCTCTTGCTCTTCTAGCCAATTATCCACATGAAAAGGGCTGTTCTTGCCATTTATGCAGCAAACTCCAAAAAGGATTTGTTTATTATTGTTCTCCTTGCGAGTTCAGCATTTCGATCAAATATATTTTCTCTCATTTATTTGAAGCAAAGATTCATGAACATCCATTCACTCTCCTATCAAGGCCAATGTCATTTATCTGTGATGCATGTGGTATTTGTGGGGAGTATTGCATGCCTTACATATGCACCATATGTAATCTTGTAGTGCATAAGGATTGCATTTCCCTTCCACACACCATCAAGTTAAGAAAGCATGAGCACTCAATTTTCCATGTTTATAATTTCCTTAAAGAAAATGAAGTAAGAAAGAGGATCTGCAGAATTTGTCGGAAAGATGTGAGTATGGAATATGGGAGCTACCATTGCTTAGATTGTGATGATTACTTTGTTCATGTGAATTGTGCGAGAGAAAAAGATCTTTGGGACAATGAGATTTTTGAGGAGGAAGTAAATCAGAAGTCCAGTGAAACCTTGGGAGAAGGAAAAATTAAACACTTCAGCCATGACCACAAGTTGCTACTAAGTGACGAGATGAAAAATTGTGAATATTATTGTGACGGTTGCAGGAGATCAATCTCTACTGCATTTTACCATTGTGCTGAATGTAATTACTTGCTTCATAAATGTTGTGCCGAGTTACCTAGAAAGAAGAAACACTGGACTGCTGAGAAAATCCGAACTCTCAACTTTGAACACATTTTTTGGTGTTATTTTTGTGGGTTTTATTGCAGCGGGTTTTGCTACGTCAATGATGATGACAGAGCACCAATTATCTGCATTGGATGCTTTGAAATTCCAGACTACTACCTTGCTCATGGACACGACCACCACCTTTTCTTTGACCACAAGCTTATAAGGGAGTGTAGTGTTTGTAATGAAAAATATGGAAAATTCAGGTGTGAAGATAATTGTGAATTTGTTTTGTGTCGCCGATGCATTGCGCTACCAGAAACGGCCTGGTACAAGCATGATGAGTACAAGCATGATGAACATCCTCTTGCACTCACTTACTATGATGATGTTCAATGGTTTTGTGACATATGTGAAGAACCAAGAGATCCAAAAAAGTGGTTTTATTACTGTGCAACTTGTGATTATTCTTGCCATTCCCCTTGTGCTCTCGGGAAGTACCCATATGTGAAGTTGGGGTCACCTGCCAATTTTGCAACTCATGAACATCCTCTCACTTTCATGAAGGACAATCTTCGCTATCACAAATGCAGTAAGTGCGGCAAGAGTTGCAAAGATGCGTTCCTCAAATGTGTAGAGTCAGAATGCAAGTATGTTGTCCACTATTTATGTCAATCATTTCTGCTTCAAATATATAGGCGCTGGCTGTGAACAATTGATAGTGATATTAATTGCTCTTTGATATTAATGGGAATCCCACAAGCAAGCCAAACGTTGTTAAAATCACTTGGTTCCTATTTTTTAGTTCCATTTCATTTCTATGATATGCTTTATGGTAGTCTGGATTCTTATTTGTTCTAATCAAACATCGGATGGTTGCTTTCTTATCATTCCTTGAAATAGTCAGAATGCTCTTTCAAGATATGTCCACAAAATTTAACTGTTACTTACAGTGATGAATGAACTATAATTCTAGATGCTGTTTATGTGCAGTTGTTTATATATGCTTGTGCATTAGCATTACGAAGAACTAGATTATCATGACACTTTTGCTTTGGTTGCTAAACTTGTTACTGGTCATTGCCTACTTGCCATTGCTTCTACACACAATTGGGAATTACATCAATTGGATGTCCACAATGCCTTCCTTCATGGTGACCTTGATGGAGAAATGTCCATGCAATTAACACCTGGCTATGGGAATTGTTATACCCTAAATCAAGTCTCATGAGAATCAAGACACGTGGAGACATTCTAGAGATAGTTTTATCAAAGTTGGGTAGAATAAAATCCCACTAGAATAAGAATACCCCAAACACCAATTAAATAAAATTGTATTCGTAGAATAACTATATTTAAGCATCTTATAAATACCTCTAGGATCAACTTAAGGAGGTAGATTATTTTTACATCACCATTCTCGCTTCATTGTAAACTCTTTCTATCAATAAAGATCTTGGTTCCACATCATCTTTTCTATTTTTACTGTTAACATTTGGTGCCCACTGTGGAGTCGAGTTCTTTTTGACCCACGAATATCGCATGGAAAATTCAGAAAATTCATCACCTCCTAGCAGAAGCACCCTAGGTTCCAGAAGCAAAGCCAAAATGAGCAACTCTTCTTCGCCAAGCACGAATCCAAGAGATATTGTAAATAAAGCCAAACCATTAGACTCAATTGTAGCATCACAAATACAGAAACTTACACAAGGCATGGAAGAAACAAGGCAAAGTTTAAAAGCAATCAAGCGAGCCATAGCATTTATGACAAAGGCTACTAACACCTCGTCACAAGAAACAAGATGAGAACGCTTGTCACGAAGTGATGCCAAGACACTTGAAGGGAAGGAGCAAGATTCAGCACAAGAAAATAGCAACCAAGATGAAAGTTACGTACCTTCAAAACCAACAGAGTTGACAGTTGACACGAGCTTGCAACCATCCTCAACTTTTACTCAATACAATTTTCGAAGCAAAAACATGATACCTCACACACATTCAAACCAAAGGAAGGCTAGCCAACAAGTCCATGAAGCCACCTTCACGACAATAGGTCCATAAAAGGCAGAAACATAGGTTCATGATGATGGTATTTACAAAGAAATTGAGGCGTTGCGACAACATCTGGCAAAAATAGAAGTAGGCAGGTAGAGGTATGCAAAACCAACACACACAGCTTCAGTAGAAAAAGTCTTTATAGACAAAATCATCAGGGAACTTGTGCCATCAAACTTCAAAACTCCACAACTAGTTGAATACGATGGAACTCAAGACCCAGTGGAGCACGTGTAAGGATATAGAATGGCAATGATGGTATATGGAGCCTTGAATGCTCTATTATGCAAGCAATTCCCAGCAACTTTCAAGAAAGCTGCGCAGGCTTGGTTCACAACATTACTAGAAAAATCTATCTAGACCTTTGATCAATTTGCAAATATGTTTATCAATCACTTCACTGTTAGTAGAGCTCCTCGAAAGACCAACCATCATCTCTTAACAATTAAACAGAAGATAGGAGAGTCACTAAGAGCCTACATAGCAAGATTTCACAACGAAGCTGTGCAAGTAGAAAGATTAGACCAAAGTGTGGTAATGCATGCTCTAATGGATGGATTTAAAGACTCAAGTTTCTATAGATCCTTAAACAAACAAGAGCCCACCAGCCTTAATGATCTATTAAGAAGGGTAGAAGGATACATTAGAGCGAAAGAAAGGGCGGTAGTAAAAGAGGCACAAGAAACATCAAATTCAAAAGAAGGAAGAAAGCGAAACATAGAAAAGATATAGATAATAAAAGTGTCAAAGACAGAAAACAATCAAGGTACAACTTGAGGGATAAACACCCCAGGACACAAAGAGAATTTGTGGGATACACAACGCTCACACCTTTAAATACTAGCAAGACAGAGGTCTTGAACATAGCAAAGAAAATAGAGAAGTTGCAATGGCTGACTAGAATGGTGAGTAACCCAACTAGGAGAGACCAGACATGATTCTACACCTTTCATGGATAGCATGGACACAACACAAAGGAATGTAGACAACTGAAAATAGAAATTGAGAGGTTAATAAGATGAGGAGCACTCCAGCAATTCGTTAATAGAAACAACAGTAGTAGGAATAGGAAAGATCGGCACAAAAAGCCTGGAGAAAAAGAGAAAGAAGAAGAACAACCACTAGAAGTTGTGGGGACCATTAACTTCGTAAGCTTACCATCTGAAGTACGCAGCAAAGAGAAAACCCCGCCAATAACACTGGAAGCAAAGAATTCTTTAAGAAAAAGCGAGGTACTCAGCTTCACAGAAAAAGACCTGTAACAAAGGGAAGTATATCCTCATGAACCCTTAATGATACAAGTAATAGTTGAGGACAGAAACCTCCGGCAAGGAAAAATATTAAAGAGAGTATTAGTAGACACAGGAAGTTGCAGAGATATACTCACACATGAAGTTTTCAAGAAGTTGGGATTCTCAGCACAACTTATGAGACCCTGTGAATTCCCGTTAGTAGGGTTGTTTGGAAAAGATGTGCCAATAGTAAGAATCAGTACAATACCTATCCATGTTGGCGATACCTCTCAAAAAGCTGTGGTAACTCTAGACTTCTTTGTCATAGACATACCATGTTCTTTTAACACAATCTTAGGAAGACTAGGATTGAATGCATTACAAGCAGTAATCTCTACAAGCCATATGATGATCAAATTTCCTACACCAAAAGGTATTGGAGTAACAAGAGGAAGACCCGTAGAAATTCAAGAAACTGTCACAGCACAAGTCTCTGAACAACTAGAAGCCCAGAAGCTACGGCCTAAGTCTCAAACTTGGGATTTAATTGCAACAGGTGACATCGTGAGAAGAAGAGTGTTGACTGTAGATATAATGGATGCAAGAGAAGGTATAAAGGAACAACAAGTAGAGCCCATCGATCACACCAAATCTGTGGTACTCACCTCAAAAAATCCAAACAAAACAACAAATGTTGGAGCAAATATGGACCCAGAATTTACCGCAAAATTAGAAGAATGCTTAAAAAGGCATGAAGATATATAGGAAATCGTCACCTTCTTTCTAGTGTACTAAAGGGGCCTCTCAACAGAAAATCCCCAACCGACTCTGCTACTATCATGTGTTCTCACCACTCCACTCCACTGTCGCCCATCCTGCCCCTCATCATAATAATACCAACTTGGTTTTAGATGAAAATTTTGAAGATTGTTAAGGGAAAAATCAAATTAGTTGAATTGAGTTTTTAGCAATTAATGATACAAGGAAAGTTCTAATGCTATCTACAGAAAAAATTTTCTCACCAAGAAACCATGACGTTTTGTGTGACTTTGGTCAATTAACATGCCTATGGTTTGTTTAATTTACAAATATCAGAGAAAGTAAGTTATGCTATATTGGATTGAATTTTTTAATTATGTCATTTTTTGGCATTGTAGATCTCTTTACCCTCTTATTATTTATAGTTTTCTGATGGTCTGATTGTTAATAAAGCATAATTAAATTTGATATTGTTTCATCTGAAATTTGATTTAGTTAATGATAGTTTCTAGCTCCAATTTTAATTGGGGCTAAATGATAAAAGTAAAAGTTAGTGGACTATTTTTATAAAAACATGAAACTTAAAGGGCTGAGGGAAAGAGATAGCAAAAGACGTCGTTTTGCTTGAAAAAATAAAAAGGGGGCTGGGTTTCGAACCCTAGGCCCTCACTTTCACGATTCTTCTTCTTGTCGTAAGCCACTCTCCCAAAATCTACTCGACTTTGGATAAAATACTACTTCAGCAAGAAGAAATATCTAGATTAGAGGTCTTCAACAAGAGTCATAGAAGAAGTTTTCGAAGTCAATTCAAATTGGGAGTCTTGATATTTTAAAGGTATGAATCTAGCCTTAAAAGAGGGAAGATGTGTAAAGAACTAGATTAGTTTTAGAATTCCAAATTCTAATAGGGTTAGATCATTATCTGTAATTTTAGGAATTGGGATAAGAATTTAGAATTAGAAAAGGGTTTGAGTTCTCTCTGTTTCTGTATAAAAAGGGGAACCCTTCGGCTTCAGGGGGCATCTAAAAATTGAGGGAGAAGGGGAGAAATCCAAGAGTGTGAAGCAAAGGAAGGAAGAAATCTTGTGTTTGAACTTTACAACAACTAAATAAATTGGTTTTTCTCCATTATAGGTGCGTTTTTTTTTTTTTTTTATGGAAGAATTTGGATCTTGAGTCTTAATTTTCTGTATCTGTTTTTT